TGATTGCATTATATTTAAAGGTCCAAGCGTTCTATGCCTTCTTAAGGAGATGGGTGTCTTTTTTGTTATTTCTATGAATTTTTAAATTTAATTCTTCAAGTTATAAATTACTTTAAATTGAAAGCTTGAAAACATGTCGACTCATAAAAAGATCCTAAATAAGTTTAAGATTTAAGTCTAACACAAACCAGAAATCACAATATTCCTCTAGTGTGAATTTATTATTATGTCGATTTATATTGAAAAGTTAAAAATAAAATTAAAACTTATGTTTAGGTTCAACTTTTCTCTATAGTATTAGCAATAAAATGTGAAATTAAATGTAATGCTTCTGTTTAAGTTCTAAGTTTATCTATAATATTAGCAATTAACATTTTAATTTGAAACTCCAGAAATACGAAATGGTTAAGAGTTGGATGGATTTTGCAAGGGTAAGCATCGAATATCGAAATGGAGTCGAAAACTTTCTAAATTTAGCTTTTCTGAATGTAAGCCAAGAGAATATGATTCTTTTCCCTTGTAAGAACTTTGTTAACATTAACTGGCACATTCGTGAAGTTGTGTACGAGCATCTAGTTGTTTTTGGATTTGCTTGGGGTATAGAAAATGGATCTTTCATGGAGAGTTTGTATTAGATAGATCTGCTTCCACGAGTTATTCGACTAATCCTGCTCCTTCTCACCATCAAACTTTTAAAGAAGATGACATGGAAGGGATGTTACGAGATGCATTTAATATGCACAATCATCAGTCGTATGTTACAGAAAATTATTGTCAGGATGATGTTAATGAGTTCATTGAGATGGGAAGAATTGGATGTGATGAACAACCAAATGGAGAAGCGGCAAAGTTTTACAAGTTGTTGAATGAAATGAATGAACAACTTTATGAGGGATCAAAGTTTTCAAAGATTTCTTTTTGCATTCGACTTTTCCACTTAAAATGCCTGGGAGGGTGGACTGATAACTCCTTTAAGAAATTGTTGGAGTTACTAGGAGAAGTGTTTTCTTTTGCAAAAATCCCTCAATAATGCAAAGATATGAAGAAAATGATCAAAGATTTGGGTCTTGGATATGACAATATTCATAGTTGTCCAAATGCTTGTATGTTATATTGGGGTGATCGAAAAAATCAGGAGTCTTGTCATGTATGCGGAAAATATCGATGGATGACTAGGGAGGCAGAAAATGTTACTGAGAATGAAGCTCAAGCACGATCAAGAAAGAAACCGGTCAAGATTCTGTGATATTTTCCTCTCATACTTAGTCTATAAAGATTGTTTATGTCCTCCAAGACTACTGAGTCTATGAGGTGGCATCATGATGGCAGAATCGACGATGGATTATTACGGCATCCTGCAAATTCTTTAGCTTGGAAGTCATTTGACAAGAAGTATCCAAGTTTTGGGAGAGATCCTCGAAATGTCAGGCTCGGACTTGCAACTGATGGGTTTAATCCATTCAAACTCATAAGTACTTCGTATAGTACTTGGCATGTTGTACTTGTTCCATACAATTATCCAAGTTTTGCGAGAGGTACTAATGGGAAGATGCAGTCAGATTTTGAAGTTCACAAAAAGGATAGGTATGATGTATTTTTTACAAATAATTGTAACGAAATATAAATCATCATTAAAAGTGGTTGTTTGACATTGTAGGAGCGAGAGCATGTTGGTGTTGCTAGCAGACAACTACAAAAGTTTACGCACACAGCTGGATCGAAGAGCTTTGCTTGTATAGCTAATGAGGAGGTATTATAGATTATTGACATAGTTTTTTGTATTGCATGTACATACTAACTCATAGTAATTATATTATGGTACATTGTAGGAAAATACATCTAGTTCTAAAGTTGGTCGAATCCAACTCTTCGACATGACACATACGAAGAAGGATGGCACTCCTATGACTGCTGAAGGTGCAAAAATTATGGTACGTTTATTGGGTAGATGTTTTAAATTTACCTGACTTTATTTATATTTGTACCATGACATTTTATATTTTAATTAATTATTCACTTTATTATTAGAAACAATTGAGGGAGAAAAGGGCGGAGTATCATGCTACTGCTTCGAGTCAAGGTCTTGTTAATGATGATGACATTGAAAATCAAGCTATTAATGACGTTTTGGGTCTTGAAAGATATGGCCGGGTGCGTTGTCAAGGATTATTCGTTACTCCCACCAAATATTTTGGATCCAGTTCATCACAGTACATGTAATCACAGTCTCAATCTTCCCAATTAGAAGTTTGTCGTTTAAAACAAAAGTTGGTTGAGATGGATTAACAAATGACTAACATGAAAGCAGAAAATGAAGTAGAGAGAGCAACAGCAGAAGCAGCCAGAGCAACATCGAAAGCAGAGAGAGAAGAAGCGCAGTACAAAGAGAAGCAGCGACAGCACAGAGAGAAGTAATATATCAGTAGAGATGTGAAGAATTTGAAAAACGACTCAATGATATGATGCATATGTTATAGAAAACGCAACCTCAGAATCCACCATCATAGTCTCATTTATGTTATCAACATTATGTTAATGTTACTGAATCATGTTTAACTGAACTTATATTACGTTAATGAAAATTTTTATTTATTATATTGGATTTGATGTTGCTTGTTATGGATATAGAGTTTGATGTTATTGCTGTCATGTTTGTTAGATATGGAACAGGTTAAAAAAATAGATTTGGGGTAATCGAACATAATTTTTAAATTGGTTAAATTATGTCTTATTTAGCGGCGTTTGTAACAAAAAAACACTGTAATATACCATACATTTAGCGGCGTTTGTATCCTAAAAATGCCGCTATATACCAGATCTTTAGCGGAGTTTGTATCAAAAAGCAACTCGAAATCTCAACACCTATTGTGGCGTTTACGAGAAAAACTCTGCTAAATTTCAACACTTTTGTGGCGTTTTTTAAAAATGCCACAAAATCTCAACACTTATTGCGTCGTTTGTGATAAAAACACCGCTAAATCTCAACATCTATTGCGGCATTTGTGGGAAAAAATCCCCACTAAATATCAACACCTATTGTGGCATTTGTTGAAAAAACGTTGCTATATATCGTTACCTATAGCGGCATTTTCCGTTAACAAAATCCGCTAACATAAGCGGCGCTATTTTCAACGGCGCTTGTTACGGCGTTTGTTGAACAAACGTTGCTATATATCGTTACCTATTGCGGCGTTTTTCGTTAACAAACGCCGCGAACATTAGCTGCACTTGTTGCGGCGCTTGTCATAACGCCTCAGGTGTTTTTTTGCGGCGATCAAAAACGCCGCAAAAAGCTAGTTTTGTTGTAGTGCTAGTACCGACTGTCGAGGAAGAAAAATTGAAAATTGATGAAGAAGGATCAAGATTCAAGGTTGTTGATGGCTGAAGGTGAATCGAAACTTAGAAAAGTGAATCTTGAGCATGAAACTGGAAAGAATTTGTGATGAAATTAAATTTTAATTAGGATTCAATGTTTCAGTAATCTTCATTCGTCGAGAAAATAAAATAAAATAAAATAAAAGTGAATACTCATTTTTGTCCATAGTTAAATTCGAAGCCCAAATTGAATAAAAACCAAACATTATCCAAAATAAAAATATCCCACTGTCCAAATTATACAATCCATATTTTAAATTACAAATACAATATTTAAATAACCTACCCATTGACCCCAATTATACGATAAGCCCAATCAGCCTAAAACGCATATACTTTAGGGACTTCGAACCCTAGCCACAATGAGATCTCAGATTTGTTGATGATCTAATGGCGTAGATTAAACCCTAACCTTAATAAGGTTTTAGCTACTTCCGCCACTGAAGAAATCATTTGGAAGACTGACAGCTAGTATCGAAAATATATAGATCTAACAATCCTCATGACGAGTCTTTTGATATTTTGATGATCGTACATATTAGATTCATCCGATGGTCTATATTCAGCACGTGATATGTGCAGAGGATCACTTAATCGTCCCATGCGCGCGTGAATCGGTCCCCACATCCATTCAATTATCGTCTTTCACCACCTCAGCTAAATCAAGGACACCAGAGCAGGCACCTGCGCGAGTTCTTCAATTTTCTCTTCGGCCTTATGTCATAACATCTTTGGGGGACAGACTTGATGGGGATTTTTGAAATGCTTATGAAAATATGAGAATCACTACCAATTATTTTTAAGTTGAGATTGAAAACTTAAAATCAAGTAATTTAATAAAACTTTTATTTTATTAAAATGTCGATGTTTTGGTCTTCGAAATCAAAAATCAAGTTCGAAAGTTAGTTATGAGTGGAGAAGGATTAACACCCTTATAACATTCAAAATTGAAACTTTGTCGATTTCCCTTTATTTTTTTTTAAATTAGAAATTTCGAGTTTAAAGTTTTATTTAATTCAAGATGGGCTATGTATGCAAATTTGAAGAAAAATGTATTCATTTATCAAGACTAATAATAGGTGCTCCCAAACACAAGCAGAAGTTTCATTATTAATTCTGATAAATAAACATTGCGTTAATAGTTTTGAAATCATGATTTAAAAAGGATGTTGATATACCATAATTAGGAGGAATTGTAATCAAATTAATAGAGAAAAAATAAAAATTGAGGAATTAAGGATGAGAAAAATCTACAATAATTAAGCAAATTAAAGAAAAAAATAAAAACCATAAAAAGGACTAAAAATGAGAAAAGTAAGCTGTCCATTTAAAGCAAATTAAATATAAAAAAGTTAAGAAAACTATATTAAACTTAATTTAAGTAAGAGGATTCAAAATGGAATATTAAAAAATAAAAAAAAACAAATTTGAATGAAAGCGAACAGTTGAAACTAGCTAGGAATATAATTCCCGACCCTTTTAGTGCCCCTTTTGGTACCCCACCAGTAGAAAGTTGACACCTGGATTAATTTATTAATTCCCTTTAACATGGATCTCCGTTATTTCACCCACCATTTGAGTCACCGTTAACTTGGAAAAGGAAATGAACCTCCTTAGGAAAGGAACCTATTGTCAAGTGTTACTGCGAAGATGGATAGACAGTCCGCGCTTACGCTCAATGAATTTGCCAAGGAACTCATGACATTCAACAGTGTTGACATGTCTGGTATGCCGACTGAATTCTTGAATATATGTAGGAAAGAGTGAAGCATATTGCTTATCATTTCTGATTGTAGACTCTTTCCATATATAAAGTAAAACACCTATTTTAGTCCTGTTCAGTTTTCATGTTGATGTTAATAATGTAGCCATGATCTAAGATGCTGTTAATTGACAGTCAAACTAGAGTCTTTTAAAAAAATTTCTTTGTTGTGCCATTTTTTTCACTCCTTAAATGGCTAGCAAGTTATCCAATTGGATTTAAGCTGCGGTATATTTTTTACTCCATATAAATTCATTTCATGTGAATGAAACATGACGCATCTTATTATACACTTTTATTAGGACGCAACTTTGGAGATGAAAGATTGGTCTTTCTTGTTAAGAGCTTAGGTTACAATCAGGTTATTGATAAATGTTTGAATTCTCTAAGTTGTGTTGGGGAACTGATTTAGTGTCTTAAGCTGTTTGTTAAATTGTATGTAATTTAAGATTTACTTGAGAGTATCTTATTTGCCTTAATTTGCCTTGATTACATATCTCAAGTAGTAATTTGGCGTGCCCTCTGCTATTTGAAACTTATTCCCTCGAGCGGTTCCAGTTATAATTTGAGAAAAATATATCTTTAGTTATTAAAGAGTTGACAAACTATAATACATCAACTACCTTGAAACATAATGTCCTCTCTAATTCCTACCCTGATTGGAATTGTAAATGCATATATGTACATGGTATAACTTAGGAACGCTCTAGTAAACCATGTCGAGCAACATACTCATGGAGAAGGTGAACCATTTTAGAGACAAGGCGTACAATTCCTTAGTAAACCCGTCATTTATCCCTATTGTAGCTTGTTTATGAGAGGTTTTCAAGTTATCTTATTTTATATTCCAGTGCTCAACTTTACATTTCCATAGAAATTCTTTGACTTTACTTTACTGTTTTCCATAGCATTTCACAATCCACACTTCAATAATTTGTCACAACATTTTTACTCACTTGTTTATACCGCCATATAAACTATATTTAATTCATATATTTTTGGTACATTCGTTTACCCTGGAAATCCCTTCAATCCCTGTGGACACAATACTCACTATTATATTACTTGTTCGATTGTGTATACTTGCAAAATTTTGAGTTTAATTTACAGCGCTCGCATATGCAACAAGTTTTTGGCGTCATTGTTGGGGATTGGTAATTGATATTAAGTTTAGTTATTGCATTGTTTTCTTTCTTTATTTTGAATAGATTTATTTGCTATTTTTTTTACCATTTTCAGGTGTTGTGCTAGTTCATGACTGGAGGACGACCTGAGGGACCCTTATTATCTTTGGTATAAAAAATTGATCAACTTTTTCGTTAAATGAGATGTTTTCAAATAGAACAAAGAATCATGCAACACGGAAATCAACACATAGAGGATCTTGAAGATCTAAATGCTGCAGTAATTCAGAATGCTGGAGTTATAGTTCGCCCACGTACGTTTAGAGATCACTTAGCTCCTATCTTGGAAAATCTTAACCTGGTATTGTAGCTCCTGAAATTCAAACAACCCATTTCGAGCTTAAACTGGTAATACTCAACATGTTAAACTCGATCGGACAATTTGGTGGTGTACCTCACGAAGATGCAAGGTAACACATTCGTGCATTATTGGAGGTTTGTGATTCATTCAGACAGGTGTGCATGAGATGTGTTAAAACTCAATTTATTCCCTATTCATTGTGTGATCGATCAAGGGCTTGGTTGAGTGGAGTTTTATTTAGTTTGACTGAATCTTGGGAAGATTTGTGTACAAGCTTTTTGCTGCTGCAAAATCCACCCAACATGAACAACCAACTTCAGAATGACATAGCATCATTTCTTCAAGATAATGATGAGTTAATGTTTGAGTGTTGGGACCGATACAAAGGACTACTCCACAAATGTATCAACTATGGATTCCATAATTGGACATAGGTTCTGATGTTCTACAATGGTGTGAATGCTCTCACAAGGATAATGTTAGATGCTTCAGTAAATGGAAATTTCCTAGACAAGTCATCTAAAGAAGCTTTTGATATCATTGATAGGATAGCAAACAATGACTATCAATTCCCCTCTTCAATGCTAAGAACGGGGAGGAGAACCAAAGAAACGTTTGAGTTTGATGCTAAAGATTTATTTTTAGCTCAATTGTTAGTTATCACCAACAAATCGAAAAGCCTTTAGCACCTTGGCGAAGTAAAGGGAGTAAAGGTGGCTAGTTCTGCATGTGTTTTATGCCATGAAAATCATCATTTGAGCGAATGCCTTGACAACCATGAGTCTATCAACTATATAGGGAACTTCAAGTGAAGCAACAACAAGCCCTACTCCAATACTTACAACCCATGATGGGGTTAACATCCTAAATTTTCATGGGGAAATCAAGGTAACAACTATAATACCCCAAAATTTTGGTTAGTAACCAAAATGTAAAATTTGAAAGTTTAATGACCAAAGTATAAAATTGTGAAAAGTTTAGGGAACTAAATGGTAATTTCCAAAAAAAATATTCCATAAATATATAGTTATTGAGAGTGGGGTTTTATTGAAATTAGATTCTTGATCCGAAATTTATGTTGAATTCTAGAATAGGTTAAAGTCTGGTAAGAAATCGTTAAATCGGATCGAATAAAAATTTCGGGAAAATTGAAGGATGATAAATTAGGCTTAAAAATATTATTCCCACATGTTAAAATGATGGAAAATAATATGGATCATTGGATTTGAAGATTTATTTCCATGTTAAATTTGGATCGTTGGATTAAAGTGGCAAGATTGCAATTTTTGGAAAATTGCTTGTTAAATTGGAAAAAATGTAAAATGATTTGTTCATCTTTGAATTTGGAAATATGATAAAGTTATGTGGCTTGGTATTAAGGTAATTATCAAGTTTCATTAATGGAAAAAATGAATATTTGTCATTAAATGAATAAAATATTCATTAAAGCTTAATATAAGGTAAATCAACATAAAATTTACCAGAAATTTCATGAAAACTTAGGCCATTTTCAGCTCCATTTCATGCTCCCCATGGAAAAGGTAAGAGAAATTTTATTTTTCATTTTTGAGCAATTTCCTTTGGATTTTGGGTTATGCTGTGAAATAGAAAATTGTTCTATTCGAAAAACGCTATCTTTTGGCATCATTTATGCTTGCTAATCTTTCTTGATTTAAAAGATCCCAAATTATATGGTTTGTGATCAGATTAGGGTTTATGAAATTGATAATGAATCTTGATGTTTTCGAGGTAGTAGATTCATATTCAAGCTTGTATGATTATTAGACCATGTTCAATAATCATAGAATTTGTTCATTAAGATTCTATCAAATCATAACTTGGAAGAACTTTGTATTTTGATGAAATTTGATTAGGGCTTTGATTGTAGATATGTTGTAAGGTTGGATGGAAGTTGATTTCATGTTTGAATCGAATCAAAATCGAGCAAAATCATGAAAACCTTAGTTTTAGAAGTTGGAACTTTCAGCCATGGCTTGTATGAATGAATGAGAAAAATTATGTAAGGACTGTAAATGATGTAGGAAGTATTCCACAAGCCTTAGAAAAATTTAGGGACCATTTGATAATTTTTGAAAAGTTGGGAGACCTATTCGACAATTTGGGAAAAGTAGTGGGTTATTGTATAATTGTTCTATAATTGATGTACAATGCTGGAAATTTCTGTTTGGGAATTGAAATGAGTGTGAAAATGTGAAATTAGATCATTTTGGAAGTTTAGAAAGTTTGGTGTTTTAAATGAAATATTCAAAAAGTTTGGAGAGCTTATTTGTAATTATGCCTTTGCATACGTACTGGGGTGGTAATTATTTCAATGTTTGAATTTTGGTATTGAAACTTTGAGTGGTACAATGGTAAAGGACCATTTTTATATAAGTTGGAAAATTTGGTGCTAAAATTAAAAAGGATTAATAAGTGTTAAAATATTTGGTGGTGAATAAGTTTCAAGTATGAATATGGATTAAATGGAATTTGAATGGTCAATTGGAAGTGTTAAGGTCAACATTTATGTTGTGACATGAAAATTGTATCGAATAAACATCGAGAAATTTGTTAGGAATTTATTTTCCAAAGTATGCCTATGTTAGTAAGATTCTAACATTTGGTTTTCATTTGTGTATATTTGGTAATGGTGTCCATTTAGAGATTGAGTGCTTGAAATCAAGATCAAATATTATTAAAGCTAAGGATAACCTTAAGGATGAAATGGAAAATTCCATGGAAGGTTGCAAGCTAAGGACTCCATGTGAGTGCAAATTTAATTTATACATATGTTATCGAACAAACATTGGCTTCTGATGAACCAGTGACGGAGTTATTATGGTAAGAAGTGACTCCTAATTGTTATGTGATTTAATTTTTTTGCAGCATTTTATTGTTTAAATTGGTGTTGCGTAAGGGGAAAGGTCATGTTTTGCTGATGATGTGCAACTAACTGATGCTAAAGGAGATGAGGCAAACAAGGCTGAAGGAGAATTGGAGAAATGCTACAACATTGTAGACGACATTTCTGGGCACAAAAAAGACAAAAAATAGCAAAGATATCTTTAATCGCTACCAGTTGTCCACAAGTGAAACCTCCTCTGTCAGCTTCCTAACCCAAGAATATGAATAGAATATTTCCTTAGGTTACAAAAGGAATTAAAATCCCATATTTAAAGGGGGATTTAAGAGTCTCTAGGGAGTTAGAGTGTTTTATTGTGAATTTAATAGTCTTTTGGGCGTTAGAATGTTTTATTATGAATTTAAGATTTCTTCGAAGTTGGAGAGTTTTTTCTTTAGTATAAATAAGATAATAGTGGAAGAGAAAGGGGGTGGCAACAAGAGGAAAAACAAAGAGCTCTATTACTTTCTTTACTTAATTTTTTCCTCTTTTCGTGGTGTTCTCCATAGCCAAGCTCTAAGGGGACAACAAGCTATGCCTTTGAGAGAAGCTAGCTTGTTAAGGTGGTTCAAGAAAGCTCACAACAACACTTGGGAGTTCTCTTCTCTTTCGATGTTTTTCACTTATATTTATTTATACCTTTTGGAACAAATTATTATTATTGTGGATGATTTGTACCCCACCATGAACTAACCTTATTTGGTGTGGGTTTACTTTGGATAATTATATTTTGTTTTTAATGAATGATATATGCTTCCATGTTTAATTGTTGCTTTGTTCATTGTTTAAATGTTAATAACTTAGACTTGTAAGAGCTTTCGAAAGTTAGTAATTTTCTAAGTTTTAATTCCTAATATCAAGAGGGTTATGTTAGATCGACATGAACAATGGAGATAAGCTGGGATGGCAAGGCTTTAACTCACCTTAGAGATAAGGAAATGGTTTCAACGACTAAAAGGGGTAGAACTTAACCGATAAGATTGTGTTGTAGTTTATGCTAAGAGGTATTGTCGTAGCATTTTCTCTGTCAAGTTCCTTACCAGAGATAACTTGGGAACACTATAGTAAACCATGTCGAGCAACATATTCATGGACAAGGTGAATCATTCTAGAGACAAGGCATAGGATTCCTTAGTAAACCCGTCATTTATCCCTATTATAGCTTTTTTATGAGAGGTTTTCAGGTTATCTTATTTTATATTCAAGTGCTCAACTTTACATTTCCATAGCAATTCTTTGACTTTACTTTAATGTTTTCCATAGCATTTCACAATCCACACTTCAATAATTTGTCACAACATTTTTAGTCACTTGTTTATACCGCCATATAAACTATATTTAATTCATATATTTTTGGTACATTCGCTTAACTTGGAAATCCCTTCAATCTCTGTTGACACGATACTCACTATTATATTACTTGTTCGAATGTGTATACTTGCAAAAAATTGATTTTAATTTACAGGCTCACATATGCAACAAGTTTTTGGCGTCGTTGTTGGGGATTGGCAATTGATATTAAGTTTAGTTATTGTATTGTTTTCTTTCTTTATTTTGAATAGATTTATTTGTTATTTTTTTACCATTTTTAGGTGTTGTGCTAGTTCATGAGTCAAGGACGACCTGAGGGACCCTTATTATCTTTTATATAAAAAATCGAACAACTTTTTCTTTAAATTAGATGTTTTTAAATAGCACAAAGAATCATGCAACACGGAAATCAACACATAGAGGATCTTAAAGTTATGAATGCTGCAACAATTTAGAATGCTGGAGTTTTAGTTTGCCCACGTACGTTTAGAGATCACTTAGCTCCTATCTTGGACGATCTCAACCTGGTATTATAGCTCCTCAAATTCAAACAACCCACTTCGAGTTTAAACTGGTAATGCTCATTATGTTAAACTTGATCGTATAATTTGGTGGTATGCCTCACGAAGATGCAAGGTAACACATTCATGCATTATTCTAGGTTTGTGATTCATTCATACAACAAGGTATGCATGATATATGTTAAAGCTCAATTTATTCCCCTATTCATTGTGTGATAAAGAAAGGGATTGGTTGAGTAGAGTTTTATTTAGTTCGAAAGAATCATGGGTAGATCTGTGTACAAGCTTTTTCCTGCAGTATAATCCACCCAACATGAACACCCAACTTCGGAATAACGTATCATCCTTTCTTCAAGAAAATGATGAGTCAATGTTTGAGTGTTGGGACCGATACAAATGACTACTCAACAAATGTATCAACTATGGATTCCACAATTGGACATAGGTTCTGATGTTCTACAATGGTGTGATTGCTCTCACAAGGATAATGTTAGATGCTTCAGTAAATGGAACTTTGTTGGACAAGTCATCTAAAGAAGCTTTTGATATCGTTGATAAGATATCAAACAATGACTATCAATTCCCCTCTTCAATGCTAGGAACGGGGAGGAGAACCCAATAAATGTTTGAGTTGGATTCCAAAGATTTATTTTTAGCTCAATTGTTAGTTATCACCAACATTTTGAAAAACCTTTAGCACCATAGCGAAGTGAAGGAAGTAAAGGTGGCTAGTTCTGCATGTGTTTTATGCCATGACAATTATCATGTGATCGAATGGCTTGACAACCATTAGTCTATCAACTATATAGGGAACTTCAAGCGAAGCAACAACAACCCCTACTCTAATACTTACAACACATGATGGCGTTAACATCCTAAATTTTCATGGGGAAATCA